CCTGGTTGCCATCAAATTCAAGGCCTCACATAACTGTGCAGTGGTGATCTTTGCCTCCTTTAGAAGATCTTCTGTAGAGCAGTTTTCTGGCTCATTCTTCTTGTCCAACACATCCCAGAAATGTTTCAGGACTGCTTCGGCTTGCTTCTTTTTTTCTGAAATGGATGCCAATTCTTCATCGGTCAGGTCCTGCAGGGCTACCGGGCTGCACAGAAACGTCTGCTTTACTGGAGGTTTAGGGAATCCAAACCTACAGACCTTGCCACCTTTCTTGCACGACGTCGTATGACCTTTTCGGTGCATTTAAACCTGACTAACTATGTCAAACAACTCTCTATCCGTCTCTGGGTTGGGTAGCTGACTAGAAACATACTTGTCTACAAAAGCGCAGATTTCTTCTTCAGAATTTACATTCAATTTTGGCGCATCTTTTACCCAGAACAAACAATGTATGTGCGGACTTCCGCGCTGCTGAAACTCGGTCCTGGTGAATGTATCCACTACCTCTCCAATCGGTTGCGATGGAGACTTAATGACGTGTTTGAAAAACTGCTTGACTCGGTGATCGAACATGCGCGCAGCAGTGACAGGATTACTCTTTAAAATGTCGCAACGCTCTTCCCAGGACAAATTGCTTACTGGTACCGTGCTGTCATCTTGTCGAATTGCTTCCAACACTTCTGGCCATCGCAAATCTGCGGCAGAAAATGTCGCGAACCACGTCGGAATCCCAAGCTGCCTTATCATTGCATACAATTCATTTAGTGCCCTGTCCCAGAATTGCGGAGTACCTCTGACTGGCTGAAGGAAGCGATAGCCTTGATCTGACTTAAGAATGGCCTGTAAGTCTTCTCTGTTCGACAACATTCCAGCAGATATTCTACGGCCATCACTTGTTGTAGGCGAACCTTTGCGCATAGATATGGAAATGTTCGATTGTATGAAGCGCAGCTCTGTTACATATTGTGCAAAGAATATGTAGCTAGTATCTCTTGCAAACCGTGTATCTGCACCCATAAGCCGCGCCTTGAAGAACTTGCTAGGCGTAATACGTACATCGCGTTCATCATTAAAAGAAAACTTCCCAGTTGGAAATTGAACAGGGAAAGACATTGCCTCTCCTCCAACCTCCTGAAATACAGAAACTGGCTCCTTCCCCTCTCCTGGAGCTACACACAGGATGTGTTCATCATGGTGGTCAAGAAACTCCTGCCCTATGTCTATTGGCTGAAGGCAAGTATCATGCGGCAGCCCCCGCAAGTTGTTGTCCAGTACCTCCTCCTCGGTCAGAGCTGCTTCTTCCACTGCTTCTTCCACATTCACCTGTTGAAGAATGTTGTCCATTTCATCATCTTCCATACCATCTTCGGTTGTCCCTACCATGCCATTCCCATCTTGACTGACTGACTCTCCGTGCTCTGGGATTGTACGCGCTTCTGAGTTGTCTTCCACCCTGGGTTCAGCAACAGATGGTTCGACAAGCCCTTCTTCTTCGTTCCAAGACAAAGCCCAGTCTGCATCAATACTCGTGCCCCGGTAATGTTCATTATTTTCTACAAGATACTTCAGAGCTGCATCTACTTTCATTGGACTAATCTGTCTATACATGTAATGTCCACTGTACTGTAGCTTCCTCTTAAGTTTCACTTTGATTAGCAGAGCTTCTGTAGGCATTCTGGGAAGGACTGCATGTGTTTCACTTACATCTGCTGGGACACACACTACAGGACCTATGACTCCCTTCTGGCCCCCTTTCGGGAGAGCGGCAACTTTCATAAATGGTATTCTCTTAGCTATAAGTTGTGACTCCAGAGTATTGAGGCTATTCAGCTCAGGAGGTATTTCTGGGAGCTTCATTCTATTACTCTGGGCCTCAAATGGAATGGTCTTTTTCTTCCTCAAGTGCTCATGACAACAGTGACATACCCACTCTTTCCCCTTGGATGTGTTTACTATGGAACATGCATTGGGGCTGCAGTTTTCATTGCATTCATGTACATACTTACCGGTAAGACAGAAGTGGACATCCTGAACATACTTTTCTTTGTGACAGATTACAACTTGATCACGGAACAAAAGCCTATGGCATACAGTGCAAACATACTCTGGTCCCTTTTTGCATTCCACCTGGAACTTTTCAATGGCCTTATTAACATCTGGTAAATTCTGGTTTCTTTCTCTGTTGATCTGCACATTTCTTTTCTTCAAATCTCTCTGCTCTGGATCTGTATGATATCTATCCTTTTCGCGGTCTCGCTTCTCCTGCGCATGCTCTTCATCAGTGTGGTAACGCTCCTTCGTTTTGTCTCGCTTGTCCTGTGCATGCTCTTGATCAGCGTGGTACCGTTCCTTCTTTCTATCACGCTCAGCCTGGGCATGGTCTTCATCCGTGTGGTACCGTTCGTTCGTTTTGTCTCGCTTCTCCTGGGCATGGTCTTCATCAGCGTGGTACCGTTCCTTCTTTCTATCACGCTCAGCCTGGGCATGGTCTTCATCCGTGTGGTACCGTTCCTTCGTTTTGTCTCGCTTCTCCTGGGCATGGTCTTCATCAGCGTGGTACCGTTCCTTCTTTCTATCACGCTCAGCCTGGGCATGGTCTTCATCCGTGTGGTACCGTTCGTTCGTTTTGTCTCGCTTCTCCTGGGCATGGTCTTCATCAGCGTGGTACCGTTCCTTCTTTCTATCACGCTCAGCCTGGGCATGGTCTTCATCCGTGTGGTACCGTTCGTTCGTTTTGTCTCGCTTCTCCTGGGCATGGTCTTCATCAGCGTGGTACCGTTCCTTCTTTCTATCACGCTCAGCCTGGGCATGGTCTTCATCCGTGTGGTACCGTTCCTTCGTTTTGTCTCGCTTCTCCTGGGCATGGTCTTCATCAGCGTGGTACCGTTCCTTCTTTCTATCACGCTCAGCCTGGGCATGGTCTTCATCCGTGTGGTACCGTTCGTTCGTTTTGTCTCGCTTCTCCTGGGCATGGTCTTCATCAGCGTGGTACCGTTCCTTCTTTCTATCACGCTCAGCCTGGGCATGGTCTTCATCAGTGTGGTACCGTGTCTTCTTCCTGTCCCGTTGCGCCTGGGCATATGTCTCATCTTCTTGGTACCGTTTCCTTTCTCTCTCCCGTTTGGCCTTTTTCCGGTCATCATCATTGTTGTCATTCAGTGTGATCTTTCTCTTGCTGCTGGCAGCTTCTGAAGCCTCTGTACCTTCTTGTCTGCAGCACCGTGACATGCTCCTTGTCTGCCTACGGCTCAAAACTGTTGTGACAACATTAAAGTGATCCTCATTTTCATGTTGTAAGTACACAGCATTACTTGTTTCTGACATGGTCTTATCATAAATATTCTCGTTTGATGGGTACTTACACCATGTCCACTTGTTGCCATACTTAGTGTACAAAAAGATGCGTATTCCCAAGAATAAAGCCATTGCATCCATTTCTACCTCTGTGGCCCATGCACCAAAGTCTCCTGGACGTTTCCCATTGTGAGCCCAATCCGCACGAGCCAGGTACTGGTCCATGGTTAGTCCTCCGTCGAACCAAGACCTGTAAACATCCTCAGACAATGTTGACATAAAGTGAATCAAGTGCTGCCTTACTACATGATGATACATTTGGGTGCCACAGATATGGTGACTTATGGCTCTATAGAAGCAGTTCCCATCTTTCTCTATTCTGACAAGATCACTAGAACGAGGTGGCTCCAGAGGGACATTCCTTTGCTTCATATTATGGGGTTTTGCTACAGGGAGGTTTAACTGACCTGCAAGGTACATTTGATCATCTGCTGTCAATGGGTTAAACATAAACTGTCCATCCTCGACCCTCCCAGGCCCCTGTTACCTCTACTTCTTGCTCAACAGCTGGCCCCTGCCCTGTTACCTCTACTTCCTGCTCATCAGACGGCTCCTCCTCTCTGAGCTCTACCTCCTGCTCAACAGCTGGCTCCTGGTCTGTTATCTCGGCTTCCTGCTCATCAGCCAGCCTCTCCACTTCCTGCTTTGCCTTCCACGCACTCAACCTCTTAGTCTTGGGCACTTTCCTACGCCTTGGCATTTCTCCTGAAATTTACCAGAATGTACAAATATTTTTAGAACTATAGTATACATGTTATACTATATAGACGATAAACCGGACAGTGAGTGAGTGAGTGAGTTATATACATTCAACTTTAAAATTTGTTAATGTTATTGCTTGCAGCACGTACCAATAGTGATGCATACCTAAACCCAATTTTAGGTTCAGGTCCGGATTCAAGTCCAGAGGTTTAGGTTCAGTTCCGGACTTGTAAGTCCGGACCTAAAGCCATGACATATACAAAATTGCATGTTGGCAACCTTGCAATGTTGTCTAGATGAAACTTGGCCACATAACATGGAAGCTGGTACTTGACGATGCCCGATGGCAATGTTTTCTTCATTTTGCAGCAAAGATTTTGCGATCTACGGAAGGTTTTAGGTGGTTTGGAAAGAAAAGGGGTATGTGAAGTGGTCTTTTATGGTAATAAGTCCGGACTCGGTTCTTGACTTTTAGGTTTTTTTTGGACTTGAACCTAAACATTCTTACAAGTCCGGATCCAAGTCCAGTGAACCGGTATGCATCACTACGTACCAACATTTCCAAGATTATATGGATGATATGAATGTCCCCATACATGTAAATATACAGTATACCTGTGCAAACTTTTTATATATATGTTCAATGCAATGATACCACACGAGCAATTGCCA